TTGAGGGAGGATTTTAGGGTACCTAAAAAAATATTAAATAAGATTAAACAATAAACAAATAAAGAGATATGAAAGAGGGGTTTGGGGTCAACCAAGTTGATATGATACCTTCTTAGAGTTCATTCAATCCTGACTGTTTTAGTCCAGATCAATGGTTCTTGATTATATCAACGGGTTTTAAAAACCATTCCACTCGAAAACAAGAGAGGGGGAAGAGGTGACCATTTTAGGGAAGGAAATAAAAGACGCCTCAACCCTTTTACAAAAAAAAGGAAACAGAGAGTGAGAGTGGTTGAAAATAAATGATGGCTGATTGAGAGAACAAAACAAATGCTACTTACCATGCTGATACGGATCTCATAATCCACTTCTCTCTTCATTCGATACCCCTTGGTCGGCTTGTCCTTAAAATACTATGGTTTGGGCTCTAAAACGTAGCTCGAGGGCGGAGCTACTACAACTTTAGGGCTGCACTCGGCCAAGTTTGGGCGGACTGGTCCGGCCTGGTCTTGTCATGACAAAGCCATGGCTAGGCATGGCCTAGGGCTTGTTTGGCCCGGCTATCCCTGATGGAGCCATGGCCGGGCGCTAAACGATCAAATTAGAGCCCACTTCAAAAACTTCATTAGAAGAGGTGGTTTTAATGCTCAAATATCCTCAAATTGATCATCTCGGCATCAAGATGCATGAACATGAGAAAAACATAGATTTCAAGTTTTGAAAATAGTTCATCTTATAGCATATTTTTGGACCGTCAATTTTCAAAATTTTCAAGTTTGTATACATCTGCTCGATCTACACTAATTTTTAAGCTTTAAATTTTATAATTAAATATAAAAATATATTTTAAGGCTATTACAAAAATTTCCAGTATTGAAATCACATTTCTCGACGTTTTTTGAAGGTGCATCTTACTTTGATTGTTTAGAGCATTGACTCTATACAAATTGCACCATATCTACATAGTCCCTCCTCAATTTTTATACAAACTGCACCATATCTACATAGTCCCTCCTCAATTTTTATATCTGACAACAAACACTCTGTGTCCCAACTAAATTTCCATACGAATTAGATTAGATTTTGGAAGTTATAGAAAGATGAAGTAGTTTGGGATGAGATACATGAAGAACTCGTTTTTTTCGAAATGTTTTAAGGCCCCCAACTCAATTAGACATCGAGATGCAGACGGTATCGACTAGAGAATACAACCAAATTAAGTTACATGCTCAAAACCCGCCCAAAATCATTTATATACTCTTTGACTGTTACTAAAGTTTTGTGATCGTCAATTGCAACTAACTGTTCAAAATTAATAAATTATGCAGGCTTTATAAAGCTCGTATGATCTCTATAAAATCACATAAAGTATTTCATTACCATGACAATCATCATGGTCATTTTGGCATCACCAAAGGTACAAGAGAAAATCATGGTCATTTTGGCATCACCAAATGTACATGAGAAAATGGGAAGTTTTGGAGTAAAAATAAAAGGGAAAGGTTTCCCCTATAGCATATAAGTTCTATCTTTCTCTTACCATCCAGCCATCCAATTTTGATCAAGAGAGTCACTCATCGTTTGATCTTAGATCCGACGTCTCAAAGTATTTTATTTTTAGTTTTTTTATACAAATTGTATGAATATGAAATTGGTATGTACCATCTTCTCATTGGGGCGTACTTATAAAAAATATTTAAAATAATTTTTTGATAAAATATAATGACCAAAATATCCCTTGAAATTTTCAAAAGTATTTTGGTTATTTTATTTTATTGAAAATATCTTTTTTAAAAATTTTTTGCTAGTACGAGTTTAATAAAAGAATGCACACCCAAATTTTGGTGTCAAAATAATTCATATAAAAAAATTAAAAATAAAATAATGTAAAAATGTGATATTTTGATTGAGATAATCTTAACCCTCCATTCAAAATGGAGGGTTGGATAGAAAGAGGATAGAACTTCTACGTTGCAAGAGAGCATAGAAAACTTAGCCCAAAATAAAAATAAAGAAAACAAAAATAGAAAAGAACAGTATGAGGCCATTCGCGATGCTATTTCCAGGAACACGTGGCAATTTCTACGCCATACACGCGTCGGTATTTCATCGACCCCCTTCGAGCTTGACCTCGGGCGAAACTTGGGGATTTCGCTAGTCTGGCTTATACAACTACCCTTTTTATTCAATTAATTTACGGGTGTACTCCTCGCATGTTTAATTTCGTATTTGCGAAGGACGACCTTGTGGCCTTGTTGCTTTGGTAGCCTATCAAATGGGCTCTAGGTTTGGCCTGGTCAGCTTGGCCCTTAAAAGCTAGGGCCTGGGCGACGAAATGTGACTTGAGGACCGGGCAACTCCGGCATAAAAGTAGGCCTTGGATTGGGTGTGGGCCAAGGCATGCTCAGCCTGCGCTAATAGAGCTAGGGGCGGGCTTGGGCCAGGGCTTTTTTCGCCATGTTAGGGCCGAGACAGCCTAGGGCCTTTTTTGCCAGGTTAGGGCTAAGACGGCCCGGTGCAAAAGGCGGTGAGGCCCATTGCCACCCCTTTGGGCTCAAAGGAATGTGGATGAGCTTAAATATATCAAATGAACATGAAACACTCACTCTAGTCCTTTTGTTTTTTAGCATAAACAACTAATCATAGTTTTCTTATAGAAAAGCATTTTGTCTACTGGTTTACTTTATATAAAAATGTAGTCTTAGGACCCGAAAATTTGTAAATCAATCATCTCGTTTTCGACAATGATAGACATAAAAGAAAACGGATAAAAAATGAAATGTAAGCTTCAAAAGTGAGCCTATTTCATAACTTGCTATGTGGACCATTTAGTTCTTGTGTTTATAGAACCATCATATGTGCACTATTATTGAAGTTCGAAATTCCATGACTTTGGCTTGAAATATATTTACAAGCCATCACTAGGTTTTCGGCAATGGAATAACTTTATCTAGTGAGGCTTTGAGGTGCAGATTTACCAAAAAGCGAGTATAGTGTAATCAAAGCAAGAGCTGTGCGTTGCTCAAAAGACCTATTTTTGTATTTTAAAATTTTGGGAACCACCTAAAAATCACTAGATAATTATTTTTAAAAGAAAAAAATGAATTTTTATTTTTTTACATTAAATCTCATGGTTAGAAAATTGGACAGTTACCGTTATTGTTCCAGGACATTATTATTTTTAGTAAATAGAGAGTTCAATTCGGATCTTTTTAGTCTATGAGTTGAAAGGTTATATTCTAAAATTTAAAATCCTAAGATTACTCGTTTTACACAAGAGAGTAAATACATAATATACTCCTACATGACTACAAAATATTGTCAGGGAATTGGATGGTCTAAGCCACGCTGATCGCTTGATTCCCTAATTTTATATTTATATTTTTTTCCTTTTTCTTTTCAATATTTCATTTTCATAGAGCAATTCTCATTTTTTTTTTTGTTTTTTTTTTAAGGTTTTAACTTCTATAAGATTATAATTTGTTCATAATGATCATTTTTAATTTTTTCATAATGATCATTTTTAATTTGAAAATTGAAATTTAGTGAAAAAAAGTGGGACTCAATAACTCATTACCAGCTAGCTATACATAGGCTCAATTATGCAGGGAAAAAGTTCATATAAAGATGATACCTTATAATGTAGAACTACGGATGCCCGGCAAAAATCCACCGGAAATAGTTTTCATGTTGAAAAACCTTTTGATTGATCATCTTGACATCAAGATGTATGACTATGAAAAATAAAAAGATTTTAAGTCTTAGAAGTAGTGCATTTTACAACATATTATCTACACCGTCCATTTTCAAGATTTTCATATGTTTATAGATCTACTTGATTTTAACCTTTTTTTAAATTTAAAATTTTATAATTAGATATAAAAATAGATTTTAAGATAATCTTAAGAACATTTTACATCAAAATTATATACCATGATAAATTTTCAAGGTGCACCTTACCTCTACACCTACGGATGCGTCCGTATGCCGACTGCATCCATTATGTAGATTCTCATACTCAACTCATACTACTATGTAACGCTCTAATTTTATAGGAGGTTTTCAAATAGCACATACTGTAAAATAAATTACAAAAATTACAAAGTTATTCATTTAGACATTTATAGAAAAAATTGTTAAGACGTACCTAACTTGTCATTTAATAAATATTTTAGCCTTTTTTAAGCTATTCCAATTCCTCCATTTTGATGGAATTTTTAAAATTAAATTAAAACATATGAATAAAAAAATAGTATTAAATAGTTATCTCTAAACATGTTTTGACAATTTTTTTTTAAATTATTAAATAAAGAGAAATTTATCAAAATACACTCAAGAGATCAACTATTTAAAATTGATCCTTTCAAAATATTTATCAAAATACATATGACCGAGGGAAAAAGTTTATATAAAGTGCCAACCTTATACTGTACCAGTAAATTGCATCTAAAAACCCTCCTAAAGAAGGTTTTTGCTATGTTGGAAAACCCTAGTATCGATCATCTCAACCTTTAGATTCATAGACATGGGAAGAAGGGATTTTTTAGTCCTAAAAATAGTTCATTTTCTAACACATTATCTGAACTATCTATTTTTAATATTTTCAAGTGTTTATAGATTTGCTTGAGGAGCAATCATATATTTCCATATTATCGCAAAGCCTTGTGGCACCGAAACTTTATTTTCAACATAGTTTTGAGGTGCACCTTATTTTAATAGTATGAGCTTGACATTTAATACAAACCTCACCCTAATTAGAATAGTGGAAAAAGTATAAGTTATTAAATTGCTGAAAATTTAGGTATATTTTGCTAAATTTCCTTCAAATAAATAAAATGTCTACCGGAAAATTCTCAAAATTCTGGGGGGTATTTTCGTTATTTTGCCAGTTCACCAAGGGCGGTTCAGATGTTATTTTTTTTAGCAACAAATAAAGGGTATATTTGATATATTATTGTTATATTGAGGGCTAACTTTGTAGCTCCTTAGCTTTCCATGACGGCCAAGAGACGTCGGACCATTTTTGAACTTCTTTTCGCCTTCCTTGGCAATAAGCGCAGAGAGCTTTCGGCTGGTCTTTTCTAGGGTTTTTAAAGCGTCCATTGCTAGGGTTTCAGATCCTCCGTTTTTAAGGTTTCCTGCAAAAAATGGCCACCTTCAATGAAGCTCCTCCAGGCAATGATAAGGCCGGAGAGAAGATCTTCAAGACTAAGTGCGCTCAGTGCCACACCGTGGATAAAGGAGCTGGACACAAACAAGGTAAGAATACTACGAATCTGCGGCTTTCATTGATTTTTCTGGTTGTTGTTTCGTATATGATCTAATTGACCTTTGTCTTAGATGTTTATGCTTCTGATTATGCACTTTCAGGGGTTCATTTGGAGCCTGATGGTTTCTTCTCATTCTTTGTTGATTTTATGATGTGATTCATGCTGATCTGATCAGTTTTTTAATATTTATGCGCTCCTTATTGGACAATTTTAGGATTTTGTGCGGCCAGGGACGTCTGTGATTATTGATTTGACTGGTAGTCTAGGTTAATATGCTGGTGAATTGGATATCATTTTTCTTCAAATCTGTCAATTGTTCTAAGCTCACAGTTATCAGTGGTTCTCTAGGTTGTGATGTGCTTCGGTATCGATTTGTAGGGTATTTTATTTCATTGACTTTCTAGAATATCACTGTGTCAGAGGAATCGAATGCTTTAAGTACGGTAATTTTCTTATCTTGGAGTGTTGGTTTTTTACTGTTCCGTTTATTTCCTGCTATAGTATTTAAATTTGTATGGATCAAACACTGTCTTAATACGTTTCCATTCTTGATTAATGGGGTCTCTAGAGATTTTACATGTTTTCATGATTTACATAGATATTTGGATCTTATTCTAGCCAGTTATTTATTTCAATGGTATTCTCCAGATATAAACGTTCCTGACCATATGTTCTCTATTTAGATTAACCTTGGCAGTTAGGAATTATGTATTTCATTTGAATTAATGTCATTGGTTTTTTTCTTGGATTTTCCTTGGGAATGATTTGTTTTTGTTTGAATTTTGAACTCTACATTAGGGTGGTGGCTAATGAGCATGTATGGCATGCTGCTGGGAGGGATTACACAAGATCCCTGTGCAATGCCACATACCTAGCAGCCATGCCAGGTAATATTTCAAATCTAGTTATCGAAGCAATAACCGCAAAAAATTGTGTTATTGGAATCTTGGTACTGTCTCATGTGGTTGACTATAGAAGAGCGGAAATTAAGAACCTTGGCTATGAAGCTAATACAGAAAAATCTTGTATAAAAACTGATCCAAAATTCCATGATACCATAGAAGGGGCTGAATCATACAATATTTTGAAAATTAGAGAAGTTCACAAAAGAAAACCATTAAGCCTTGTAAGTTCTATTCGAGAAACAAAGGCACAGAGTTCAAGCTTCAAGGACCATGTTATGCCCGTAGAAAGCAAGGCATCTTGCAACTTAATGCCCTCAAAAAGCCCCAAAACAAATGAGACGTTTATTCGGGTAATAATTTCTTTTTAAAGATTGGTTTATGATTGAGACAGCCGAAGAGTTAGAAAAGAATTTGAAGAAGAAATTGTATGTGTTATAAAATAGTCTATTTTTGTCTTTCATTGTTATAGTCCATGGGTTTCTTTTACACTTGCCTGAGTCAACTCGGCTTGGGCTCTAGGCCTCTAGTCGAGTTTGAAGACTTTTATGGGTCTTGCAAACATGTCAATTCTATAATGTTGTTTCTTTAATAAAGGTGACCAGTTCTAATGAATCGTTAGCAAGTCAATTTGGCTTGGAATTAGGCCTAGTTCTAAAATAAATCTAATTTTTTAAACTCTAGTGCTGCAACTCATCAAAAAAGATCTTATCCTCTATTCCTCTGCACATGTGCTTGGACGAACTTCCACGTTATGTTTTTTTTGACCTTTGATCTGAATTGCCACTATTTTTAGACTTTTTTGTTTTGCATGAAGTTTTTATCGATTATTAAGACCTTGGTTAAGGTGATCCTGATGTGCCTAAATAGAGTTGCAGATAATTAAATAGTCTGTCTGTCTGTCTTGTCTCTCTGATGATTTAATTAAGATGCACTTTAGAAGATGAGTATCTTAGAATTATCCAGAAAAAGAGAGATTCTGGTTACTCCAGAACTTAAGCTATTGCTTGGATATTGAGTGTTAACGTTCATAAAACTTTGGAGCAAATTTATTGTGTTATGGGAGGGATTCTAATATGCTATTTGTTGTTTATTTATTTAGACTTCTGTTTTGCAGTCTAGGAACTATGTATCATTATTTCTTTTTTTCAAATGTGTTAGGGTCTTGTGGATATACTTGTATGTGGGCGTGTGTGCATGTGAGTGTGCTGTGCATGTGTTGCTAAGGCACTTACAGATGGATTATACTAGCACTCTGGATATTAATTATTTTTTAGAAAGGACTTCGATATTAATGTGTCTTGTTTCCTTGCATGTTTGTGCATTGTGCTCTTGCCTCTAGTTGTAAATGTTGATTTTCTGTCCAATTAGCTACTTTTTTCCAATTTTGGTTGTGTAGTTTGTAGTTCTGTATGATTAGGACCCTTTGCATGCCGTTTTATGCCACTTGACTCTAGTTATTCTCTTGTTTTCCTTTTCAAAGTGTTCATTTTTATTTGCTTGGGGCGCTGCAAATGGTTTTAATAATTGTACCAATAGAGCATCTTCATTTGTATGTTATTTCTTTAGTTTTGTAAGTAAAATCCATTGATCAACAAGGGAGCGCACATGGATTAGGTTAGGCACGTTTACAACAAGAACGTACTTTTTGTTGGCATGCGGATACTTGTTTGAACATAATTTATTATTCTGTCTATGAAATTTGATCTCAGTGGCTAACTCGGTCTATGCCAAACTCCTTTCATACAACATTGGTACCTCATAGTTGAGGACAATTCATGTGTTGAATAATTCTATGTTAGAGAAAAATAGACTTCTCCGGAGACTTCCATTTGTACAACTTGCTCATGGGCTTTCATTTGTACAACTTGCTCATGGGACGAGTTGGGTTTCTCAGTAAGTTTTTTCATTGGTCTTCATATTGCAATTGTGGACAATTTATTGTGAAGAATTTGTGTTGCTGAAGATGCTTGTCAGCTTTCAATGGAAACTTTTTTGTGCAACTTTCTTATGTCTTTTTAAGTCTTTTTTGTATACTTGATGGGATATACTCTGTTTATTGGCTTTATAGTATCAACTCATTTGTCATTTTTTAGGTTTACCTTCAAGTGTACATTTCTTGATTTGCAGAGTTGAGATTTAGATGAGTCTATCCTTGATGGGCTTTTCTTGGATTATTAGGATTTATTTAAGTTCAAATTGTAGGACATTTAGATGAATCTATTCTCGACCCCTATGGTTTCTTAGGGTAGAATTGAAGAGGTGGAATTTTGCAGGACCCAACCTGAATGGTCTCTTTGGGAGGCAATCTGGTACAACTCCTGGGTATTCTTACTCAGCTGGAAACAAGAACAAGGCTGTGATATGGGAGGAGTCGACTCTCTACGATTACTTGCTTAACCCAAAGAAGGTATGGATTTTTTCCCATGCAAAACAACTGGGTCCCGAGAATCTTAGCATCTAATGTAACATGGCAAGCCATTGTCCCTTCTCAATGAAATTCTCATTTGACAAACATTCATGCAAAATAAGTTATTCCACTCTGTGAACCTCTATAACATAAATTGAAATATGGAATACTTATTTTGAGTCTTTCTACTTGCAAATGTCACTATGAACTATTCGTCTATGGTATTATGATACATGGGGTCTGCTGTACATAACTGATGGCTTGGTAATGGATGTGAGAGATTAACTGTGGTTCAGATGTGTGGCCATCATGGGGAACAACAATTGATACCATGAATCATGGGGAGCATTGGTAGATGTTTGTGAGGCTTACGATCAAATCTCAGGTGTATGTTAGCAACAACAATGTATGTTGAGACCTACCACCAGTGTTAGGAAGGGTTAGGTGGTTCCTGGGGTGGGGGGGATGTGGTACCATATCATTGTGATATGATGAAACCAAACTTCTAAAAACTATGTTCATGGCATTTGTATGACCCAAAAGTTGAATACACCATTTATTCATCCCAATAAGCAATCCCCAAAAAAATAAAATTCAATTTGCATCCTAGATATAGTCATAATGAGTCTCCATTTATAATCCAAATTGTCTATTTGGTAAATTTCAAGATGTAGGCCTTTATGAACTCAGAATCAGTTTTTTTGTTTTTAACATTAATAATAAAACACTCTAACAAATTTGAAAAGGTAAAAAATCCTTCTAAACAATTGATCTAAGCATCTTACCAAAATGGATAACTTATGTTAATTGGGCTAGAAAAACAGTTTTTAGGTGTGTCTTTAATTTTTCTGTTTTGTACTTTTTCATTGGAGTGAAAAGAGTTGATGTTTAAAATTTGGTGTTAAACAAATGCAGCTACATTTCTATGCAACCATTGCATGAAATCACACACACACACA